GGTTTGACTATCTGCCCTTGGTGTGCTTAGAAACAAGTAGTAGTTGGTTAATTTACATACATTTTTTTTTTTTTAAGCGTTTCACCCCGAGCAAGGTGGGAAGCCACTAGGATGCAAGGGGTTACAGGAAATAGCAAGATCAGATAGGAGTGATAGAAGAAAGGATGAGGGTAGTGGATAGATTAAGGCAACTGGAGATGTCAATTGACATTACATTTGAATAGCTGGAGATTATAGCTCACAGGGAAACAGGAGAAGGGAAGGGAGTTCCACAGGCGAGAGGTGCGAGACATGAAGCTATTAGAGTAGAAGAGATGGCTACATTTAGGAGTTTCGACAGTGAAGGGGTGAGAGCGGGATGCCAGCCTCGTAGCAGAAATACCTCCTACTTAATAGTAGGACATTAGCTAGATGAAAACACCACTTAGACTTTTCTAAGTTCTCAAGCACCAGACAGATGAGAGTTTAAAATGTGGGAAGTATTTTTTGCCATGCCTTGCGTGAGTATATATATATATATATATATACACACACAAACACTGCGTGCGATAGATAAATTGTCATCTAAATTACACAAAAATTTAAATAACACTGACATCTCATTTTAACAGATATATTTACTAAAATTACACAAAAATATCTTGAAATACTAAAGAGTAAATTTATTCAATAAAATTGCCATTGGCTTCAACCACGGCCTCCAAACGAATTCAGAATCTCCTACAACTCATCTGGACAGTCTCCTTGTTTAAGTTGTTGAATGCTGCCATAATCATTGCCTTCAGTTCATCTTTGCCATTACAAGGAGTTTTCTTGATCTCTCGCTCAAATGCACCCCACACATAATAATCAAGGGGCTGTAGCCTGGGGAGTTATGTGGTAAGATGTAAGGTGTGATGTGGTTGGAGAAAAGGTCTGATAGCCATGACTGGTTTCTCCTTCTTGTGTGGCATGGTGCAGAGTCCTGTTGTCAGACAAAGGGTCTTCTTTTGACTTAAAAAAAAATATTTGCTGGATTTAATCCATTTCTTATGATATGTTATCACAGCAGAAATACCTCCCACATAATGATAAAACATTAGCTACAGGCTGGGGCAGAAATACCTTCTACATAATAGTAAGGAATTAACTAGATGAAAACACCATTTAGACTTTTCTAAGTTCACTAGCACCAGACAGATGAGAGTTTGAAATGTGGGTGGTATTTTTGTCATGCATTGTATATGATTACATATATGATACACTCAGAGTTATATATATATATATATATATATAACGTCATCCACAGACAGACTGTTTCGCTGTTTCACAGCTCATCAGTGTGGCTAGACATCCAGTTGCCTCTAGCTAGGATCAAAACCCGACTGAATTGGTGTCAGGCGGAGATTCTAATCATTAAGCCATCGGCGCATGGTAGGGATGAAAGTGGATTTTTTTAGCGTATTTATTTTTAGAAACACGCCCAGTGACCGACACTGACTCAATTCACATCTGCGAAGAGTCTCGCTATATAGCTATAATAGTCACTGTTTACCAATCCACACCTCGTCCCCAAAGAGCTCAACTGAAATTGATACTTCAGGAGCCAATATAACGTCATCCACAAACAGACTGTTTCACTGTTTCACAGCTCATCAGTGTGGCTAGACATCCGGTTGCCTCTAGCTAGGATCGAAACCCGACTGAATTGGTGTCAGGCGAAGATTCTAACCATTGGGATGAAAGTGGATTTTTTTTAGCGTATTTATTTTTAGAAACACGCCCAGTGACCGACACTGACTCAATTCGCATCTGCGAAGAGTCTCGCTTCCTAATACTTTTTATAAAGGCTACATTTATATTTTAAACTGAAAACCCAATATCTAGATTATTTTTAAAGGGTTATTACACTGAGGAATTCTTCATTTTTTTTGGGGAAAAGATGTCAGAACAACCTAAAACTTATACTGGGAGCAAACCTCTGCATATCGAGAGAAAATGAATCAAGTAGCTAAACAAAAATAGAAATGTTTTGTAATACAAGAATGTGTCTTCTCCCCAGATTTATTCAAGGCTATCCTAAGAAAACTGGAGACGCCACCAGAATTTATCAGTAGGCATAATCTTAACAATATGACATATGCAGATTAAAGAGTGTTGGTGGCTGACATGGAAAGAAATCTACAGGACTTCCTATACAGTGCAGTAAAAGTAAATGAGAAAAAAAGCACTAATCATCAACTGCAAGAAGACAGAAAGTATGGTCATCAGTGTTATAGACAAGTGTATGGTTGCAGAAGGAAATACGACAACAGCAGAAATAGATTTACGTGATTTATTTCAATAGGAACGTGTGGGTTTGGGACAGCTACCTTGTGGTACAGTTCATAAGCCGGCTCCTGGTCTGGGTTGATCTCTCATAGTAGTTCACACTGGTTGGCGTGGTGCTTCTCCTGCTGACTGCTGCTGACCATTCAGCCTGACCATGACAGGTCTCTTCCCTGGCCTCCTGTTGACTGCTGTTGTACTTCCCCATGTGACCCCTTTTATGGCGTTTTTGATGGCTTAACAGGCTCGTAAAACGAGGAGGGAAGCATTTTTGTTGGTCGAAAATAGAAACACTTTAAAATATTATTTTATTTTTCAACTGGAACTCATGCATTGGGCTTATGCGTAGACAACGATAATGGTCATTTTGTGACGGGGCCTTGTCCCGTTCACATCCGGCTCTCACTCTTAAGTATGTTAGTTTATTTGCCTGAAAATCAGCCAAGATATGTCTTATTTTATTTTATAACATCAGCAAGAAAACAAAAACATCATGCAGGCTATTGATTGCAGATGTCTACATCAAGCAAGTACTGAAGTTTGGAGAATGTGATGCTGAAATCTGAAGACACATTGGATGAGCAAAAGATGCCTTACAAATACCAAACAAAATGATGAGAAACAGAAAAATTTTGTTAGAAACAAAGAGAGTGCTGGACTGCTATGTGATATCCATCTTCATATATGGTAGGGAATAACTGCACAATATCCCCATGATCGAGGAAAAAACTGCAAGTAACAAAAATGTGGTTCTCACGAAGGATGCTGAAAATTCTATGGACAGAGTGAATATGCAACAAGGAAGCCTAAAAGAAAATGGCAACAGAAAGAATTTTGCTCAGAATCAATAGGAGATAGCTGCAATTTCATGGACATAAAATGAGAAAGAAAGCCTTGGAAAACTTAACCCTTATAAGAGGGCAAGAGAGAGGAAAGCAATGAGCCACCTGATGAGCTTGGGAGAATGGATGACAGAAAAGTGGGGCAGGTGGTTTAGTAAAAGGAGAAGTGTGAATTAGTTGTTGGATTATCTGAAAATAATCTTATATATTAATAGCCGATATATAATAGCTAAAAATATAATTAATACCATTGCTGTAAATTCTGCAGATGCTGAAAGAGGGTTTTCTGTGATGAACATAATTTATTTTGACAAAAGAAATATTCTTGAAATTAAAAACGTGGCAAATCTTCTAGTCATAAATTTGATAGGAATGCCATAGAATCTTTGGGACTTCAGTGATTTAGCTCGAATATAGCTAAGAAACCATAACACAGCTGATGAAACTAGAGTCAAAAAGCATTCTACTTCTAAACAGAAATATGATGAGAACAGAATTTCAATCTAGATATATCTTAATAAATATATGTTTTCCTTTAAATTATCAAAATGGTTTAATTCTTTTCAATATTATAAAGTGATTTGTTTTTCCATTCTCAGATTGAAAAGAAAATAAGCAGAATAGGTTGCTAATGATTACCTGCCTTTATAGAAACAGTTCCTGGAAATTTGAGATGCCATTATTACCACAAAGGATAGGAAGTTTTGGAGAGCCTTGATCACCCATGTTCTGATGGCTCATAGAATAAAATGTAGATGTAACTTAAAAGAAACAATGCTTTTTTCTTTATCAGAGATAATAATAGTGTTTTGGTGAAAAGATATACGTCAGGCAAAAACTCATTAGAATATGATGATTTGAATTTTTGATACGTTATCTCTCATCTCCAGACATTTTGCACTCTGAATAATTAATAGTTTCTCTTCATTAGAAAATGACAAAATCTAATTGTCCCATAAAATGTCATGACTCATTACCTGGGCCAACATTTGCTTTACTTTCTATGATTATCAGGCGTTCTTCATTTGATAAATTACAATATCTAAAATAATTATTTTTGTCGATTAAATTTCTAAGGGTGAGCAGAAAAAGTTCTCAACCTAAACAGGAAACACCTTTCAGAAAGATTCTGTTGTTTGCTCATTTGGTTAGATTTTGAAGCCAAAGAACTTTTCAGCAATCACTTCATGCATCTAGACTTAATTTGACATGAATACATATATATATATATATATATATATATATATATATATATATATATATATATATATATATATATATATATATATATAGTTTCAAAGTGTGCTATATTTATTCATATTTAAGTGCTCAGTATCAGGGATAGAGCATATGTAAATACAAAAGTGAACAGTGAAGTCAACTCTCAGAGGCAACAGACTGTTTCATGCTAGACACAATCATCAGGTGTTCTGATGATTGTGCCTACCATGAAACAGTCTGTATTGAGCACTCTCTTTTAACAATAGCCTTTTTGGTTATTGGAATTTATTCCATATGCATCAATCCTATACGTGTATATATATATATATATTTTCACTAAACTTAGTCTGTGAGTATGCCAAATGAGGGGGACAAAGAGAAATAGGAAGATTGTGAAGCTGTAGAAAAGACCTGCATTTAAAATTGTCTTCTTTTCAAGTATTCAGCACTAACTGTTGTCAGTGGAAAATATTAAACAATGCAGCTTTATACAAAACAAAGTGCTATTCAAATGTAATATGAACTTGATTAGATCCTTTGTGTTTTTTTGAAGTTATGTTTAAAGAATAAAATCATTGGTGAAGGCATTCTTAACTAGAATGTTGTTGCATATAATATTGTACAATGTGAATGATCCACAAAATAGTCATTTCAAGAGTTGTTTGGAGAATCGTGCTCATTTTCTTGTACCGCTTTTTTCAGCCAATCTGTTCTTTTGGCCTTCATATGCGTATTGCTAATGCTTTCCTTTTTTTTTTTTTCATCTCTTTAGACGTACCTGGATTATTGCTGGAACAGAAGCTGCGAGTTATCCCCACCTTGGCCACTGTTGATAACGGCTTGGAAATTAAGTGTGGGATTAAAGGCTCTTCAGAGATTATCTGGCGCCGGAACAATGTGGATTTGCATAAAATTCATAACCCAGAAATCACAGTGAGTTTCCTTTTTCAAGTTTCCTTACATGAATCATTAAAGATAATGTTTCTGATGATGATGCAAATATTGATTTATTGATTTGTACTTTATAGATTATCAACCTTTTCCAGGTTATTTAAAGCCAGGAAATATTTTTAGAATGGAAGAATTTTTGGGAGATAATGATTTTCTGATATGAATTCTACTAATTAATCCATAGCTGGAGAGATAAGACACAGATTCATAATTTTCCCAGTATTTGTGTGTAAGTGATCAAGATTAAAAGGTAGACCAGTAAGAGCCTTCATTATTCATCTTAACAGTGGAATCAAAAAGACCTATGTAGATCTATGAATGATGAAACTATTGCATTATTTATTTGGACTATTATCCTCATCTTCATTGCCATCTTCACAACATTTCGGCCATTGTACGCTCAGATCTTCTTCAGGTGATTGAATCTCTGAGATAAGGTATTATGGTTACTTACATTATTTACATTATTCAGACTTTTATCCTCATCTTCATTGCCATATTCACGACGTTTCAGCCATTGTACAATCCAGCCATCTGCAGGTGATTGGAATTCTGAACCAAACCCTTTATTCCATCCGCAGGAGTAGATTGTTCTAGTTCCATATGCCATGCCTTTTCCAGATGTCTTAGTTATTTCCCTTTAACTCAACTCTCCAAGTTTTTTGCTTCACCACTGGTATTGAACTTTTTGGGGTCACTGGATATAACGAACATCTTTATCCACTCAAGGACACATGGCCTAATGGATAAAGATGTTGGTTATATCCAGTGACTAGACCCAAAGAGTTGTGAGTTCAATACCAGGCCACTGCAGTAGTGAACCAAAACTTGGAATGTCTGGGTTAAAGGGAAATAACTGAGAAAATCCAAAAGTAAATCTGGAACTGGAACAATCTACCCCAGTGGATGAAATAAAGAGTTTGGTTTGAAATTCCAATCACCTGAAGAAGGCCAGAGTGTACAACAGCCGAAACACTATGAATATGGCAATGAAGATAACAGTGCAAATAATGCAAGTAATCATAATACCTCATGTTAGAGATATATAGGCCGAAACGTTTTGAATATGGCAATGAAGATGAAGATAATAGTCCATATAATGTAAATAATGTAAGTAATCATAATACCTCATGTCAGAGATATAGAAAGATGAAGATGAAAATAGTTGGAAAGAAGTGTTCATTTGAGAACAATCAAAAGTATGAACTTCAACTGAATTAACTAAAGTTGAGTCAAGCAAGTAAATGTCAGTTAAGCTTTTAGTCAAATTTTAGGTTGTACTGATTGACCTCATAAAAATTTGTTCAAAGAGCATGCACATTTCAAAAGTCATAAAATGTTTTAGTTTAAAAAAAAAATTCTTTTTGAATTTGCCTAATGCATAGATGCAGCTTGCATGCAAAAATCTTTTGCATTAAACTTGGTAAAACTTTCTCAGAAACACTTGTGATAATGCCAGAAGCCTTTGGCACTGCAGCTGTGCTCAAATTGAACAAACGTTTTAAAGAGGATCGACCGTTCTTTGAAGGTGAAGATAGCACAGTCTGTCCATCGGCTTCGATCTCACCTGAAAATATCACACTTGTGCAAGAAAAGGTCCTTACACAAAAGACTGAAAATGATGTATTACTCAGATAGGATTTTTGTAAGTTTAAGTTTGATCTAGAATGAAAAATAAAGCACATTGGTCTCTGTTGCTGATTTTCTGCTTTTGTTCAATCACTCAGTAGTTTTTTGTAATATTAACCAAGATGACCTAAAATTCGAGCTATAATTTCACATATTTTTATCACACCTTATATCAGTAATAACTCAGAGGTTGTCAAATTTTAATGATGTTTCTCTTTATTACTAAAGAGTTTACTGTTTTCAATCTCTTTTTTCCCTCCATTATTGTCGATTGAGATTTTGTTTCTATAAATATATCTGTTGTGGCCTTGTCACATGTCATACTTTTTCTAGATCTTTCAGTTATGTCTCTTTTGTAACTCAACACTCCAAGTTTTTGTTTCCTTTTATCATAGTCAGGTATTGAACTCACAACTCTATGGCTCAAGTCACTGGATTATTTCAGCCAATACTTCTATCCACAATGTATCCGAACAATGTAAATAGTGTAAATAGTTACAGAAATCTCAGAAATATAGACAGATATCCATAGAATGATCCTGAATAAAAACAAGTATTTTTTATCAGGTGTACCAAGAAATGGGAATTAGGATAAAGACTATGAGCTGGAATTTGAATGAAAGTAATTATGGTATGTATTTTGAATCTATCATAAAAATTCAGAATGTAGAATTAGTAAATTCTAAACATTTCAAATAACTCAGCCTAAATGTTGTGACCTTTTGGGGGCCAGAAATAAAGACACAAGAGAGGAATTGAGTTAAACAAATATATTAACAGAAACAGTAATACAAACACATACAGACAAGAGTGTTACAGCAAGAATGTTCGGTCCGCCTGTCAGAGCTGACTCCTGGAAATTTCCCACTCCAAAAGGCAGTCCTTGCTCCTATTTATAGCTGGGAGAGTCCATGCATGCATAGGTAAATTATGATGTTTTACTAATTTCTGTTTGAATTTCTGGGGTGAGGAATAATTTACAATATTTACATGGGAACTATTGTCCTCATCTTTGTTGTCATCATCACAATATTTCATCTGTTGTGCCCTTCAGCTATCATCAAATGTATGTCAATCTTAGTAACATACTGAGAATTTTGGATTGATTCATTTATTTAACCTACAGGGATAGATTCTTCTCATTTCACAGTGCATGTCTAGAGATATCTCGTCTAGTTCTTATTTTTAGTTATTGCTCACCTCATTCCCCACCGAGTCCAAATACACACTGCCTGGCTCAAGGATTGAACTCGCAATTACAATATCACCAAATTCACAAACGAACATTTTAATCCACTAAGCTACTGTTCTGTGGGTGAATGCTTTATGGAGAAATTGGTGACATAGTAATTATGAGTTCAATCCCTGGACGAAGCAATGTGTATTTGGACTCAGTGAAGATAGGGCAAGCAATAACTGAGCAGTACTAAAAAATAAGATCTAGAAAAGATATCTCTAGACATCGTCAGTGGAATGAGAACAATCTAGATCCATAGATTGAATAAAGGGTTCAGTTCAAAATTCCCTTGTTTAGATAAATAGAAAAGTAGAGAGCGGTTTGGTTTCCATGAAAGACAAAACCGTGGACATAGTTACAGTAAACATTCCTTTTCTATGAACACTGACTCTTCAGGTTATGGGCGATCATCTTCTATGAACAAGATGGAAGATTAATGTGCTCCACAACTTCCTATCCTTTGTAGCTCTTAGTAATATTTGTCTTTTTGCTATATATCCTAATTCTTATTCTGTTATCCATTCACACAAGCTCATTATGTGCTTCTTTTCGTCTATCCCTCTTGCCTTCAATAGATCCTGTGAGTGTCAAATTCTTGAAGGCCTCATTATGAGTCCAAGACATTTCAATTGTCTCTTTCTGATTCTAAGTTTCTTTTTGTTCCCATTTTCCTTAAAACTTACCCATTACTCACATGCTCCATCCATGGTATTCTCAGCCTTCTTCTGTAGAACCACATCTCTGATGCTTGTCTCTTTCTGATTCTATGTATAAGTTTCCTTTTCATTCACATTTTCCTTAAAACTTACTCATTGCTCACATGTTCACTACATCTTAATTTCAACCTTCTTCTATAGAACCATATTTCCATTGCCTCAAATTCTTCATATGTTAGGAGACTATAAAGCAGTGAATACTGGACAAAGTTTAGTACACTTTTCTTTTTTTTCTTTCCTAATAAAATTTTCCTGTTTCTTGATACTTTGCCTAGCTTTTAGAAGGTATCTTTTATTATGCTTTCATTAGACACATTTTCTGTCCTCTGTTAAAACACTTCTTAGATATTTACATTTTTATCCTTGCTTTATTTTGGTATCTCCAATTCATAATTTGGGTTGTTCCTTTTGCTGACAACCATCCATTCTATCTTCTTACAATTGATGTTTGGTCATTTCTTCTTGCTTTACTTTACCACTATTAGTATCTTTTATAAGCCAACCATAATTTGCCAGCTATTTAGTGCTGGAATGAATAATGCTTTCCTGTATACCGAGTACTAATATTAGCCTTAGTGTAGCCATTGATACACTAACATTGAATGCAAATAAGGAAAGACTAGATACATGCCCATAATAAACAAAACATGTAATAAGGCAAATAAAACTTACATACTGATATGTCCTGGAAAGGGATATTTTTGTTCGAAGTAGCAAAGTGGTTTTGGACTACTGTAACCGGGTAGGACAATCTAGCAGGTAACCGTAATGGATTGTTCCTCGTTGTAGTGGTAGACAATAGGTGTAGTCCATGTACCTCCACATCAGTCAGTATTTATGGCTGACACCAGCCAATCATATATATTACTGTGAGGGGGAACCCAGGTGTATGCATATTCATTACATCATATACACATGTTAAAAAGGTTTAAATATGTCCCAAAACTAAAGATTATCACACAGTTCAAAGGAAGAGAATGTTTAACAGAAAAACAAACAAAGAAATAACCATACCAGCCTTTTAACCTTTGGCCATCCATAGCAAAGTGAATCAATATTACTTTTTTATTCTATGTTAGGCTGTATACGTGTTGTCCACTTTCCACGTGTGTGGACACCTTGGTGGTGAGGAAGGTATTAACAATTCCCCCAAATAGAAGCAAAAAAGGGGAGAAGAATTCTCCTCTCTAACAGGGCTGAACTCTCATGTGTTCAACCAAAGTGAAAACAGTTGTTGTCTCCCTAAACTGCCTTCTGTAAGAATTCTTGTAGCTTCTTTTTTATGTTTTAGTAGGTATTTCTGGGTATGATGATAAAATATATTTGTGAAAACATACATATTTTTTTACTTCAAAGCTACCAAGAAAATTTAATTTCAGCATTATACAACCCATAAGGAG